AACTTGGTACAGTTTGGTCTTCATCTCTTCTTCTTGTCCTCCAACGGTTGCGCGCCTGAGTCCATGAGAATGTTTGCTTCTTCACGTTTTCCACTTCTGCGGACAACAAAGGCTGTAACAACTGGAAGTAATGCATCCTTGGTCTTCAGTGCCGAGGCCAGCATCCCAATGAGATTGGTTCCTGCATGCAGCAAAGGGTGATGGTTATTGTTGCACGGTGCATTATTGACCAATTCAGTGCATAAACGTCTTCGACTGCAATTTGATGCACGGTGGTCTCTTCCTGCTCGTTTAAGGCAGCTAAAACATGCATGGTTTTCCTTTACCTTCTTCAAACGGTCGTTTGGTGACATTGCTATAAACTTGTGACATTGGTCCACCCAATGATCAGAACTCGGGCATATCCAACATTTGCTCTTCTTATTTTCCTGTCCCATAACTTGATGTACCCCATGTCTCTGAGGCGCACTTCTAACTGGGGCTGTCGCTCGCATCCGTGATTTCATTTCGCAGTTCATCCATTCAATTAGATTCCCCAACTTTGGTTCAATCTTCTCTTTCTCAATGTAGCGTGCCCATACCCTCCGATCTTCATTGCACATTTTTTGCTCGATAAGCGCCAGTACATGATTATTGTCCATGTCATATGGTCGATCAACTTGCTTCAAAGTATTGTAACTTCTTCTTACCAGGTGTACTAGTTCACAGAAACGGGAATCTTCATCATTTCGCAATGCCTTGAACCTTGTGATATCTTGAGTTATCGTGTCACTGACAAATCGGGGGTCACCATAAACTGAATCCAAATAGTCCCAAGCGGCACTATAATCCGAGCCAATGCCCTTTATCATTTCCAGTGGTTTTCCAGTGAGTGTTGTGCGTAATAAGATGATTGCATCTCGGTTGCTGTATTTTGAGCCAATAATGTGTTCAAAATCTGATTTAAATATTGCGTACTCTCGAACGTCACCGCTAAACTTTGGCATCTGTGGCCTTTCGACTTTAAACGCACATCTTCCCGTGATGTCATCTTGAGCGATGGTATTGCGGCTGGCTTGCGGTGTTTCCGTTTGCGAAGAATCTTCTCCCGATGTTTCCCCATTGATAATTTCCTTTTCTGTATTTTCCGTACCATTTTCCTTGTTACTTTTGCCTGTTGTCACTTCTCGATCATTATCTTTACCATCAACTTTCGACTGCGGTATGACTGTCTTAATTGCTTTCTCTATATACTCATTCGCTTGTGATTCAAATGAAAGGAATTGTTGTTGGCAGTCCTCTAGCCATTTCTCTTCCGCTTCGAATGCAACTTCATCTTCTATAAACTCAGTATACTTCTGGTGCTTTTTAACCAAATCATTAAATACATCTTCAAGTTTCGAACGTGCTTTCTTTATCTCATCAATACCCCACTTATTGTCAATGCGGTGCGTCAACGCTCTGCCAGATCTAGTGAGTGAAGCTTTCGCATTGCGTCGTGTTAATCTGGCGGCTTTCAGCTCCGCTGACTCAGTCTCAGACATGCCTTATATACGTCCGCTAAAGTTCCATAGAACCAAATGAAGTACCAGAAATCGAATGATATGGTTCGCCAGAACTTTAACCAAACAGGAGGCTGGATTTGCGTATCGTATAAGTTTTATTCGATCTAAATGTGTAGTAATACAATGTGTAGTAAAATATGTCTAAAATTAATAATAACAAGCGAATACAAATAATAATACTAAATGTTAATCTTAACTTACTTCTGTTCATGAATCAGAGCCTTTTACACTGTAATCTTTACCGATTAGCATTTATCAGGTTAGTGTTTCTTAGGTTAGCATTTATTTTAGGCTACAAACAATAATATATCTGTCCCATGTGCTTGCGTGAATTATATGCCTAGAACTGCGTCATCTCTGTTAAGCTATCATATTTCTAAACATAATTAATTATTCCAGTGCTCTTAATTAAAGTATCTAAACGTGGTGTCTTATTGCACTTTAAACATAACTCAACGAAACATGATCCAAACTTTAATCATGATCGACAATTGATTGCATATGTTTATGTACCCATGGTTCAAAGGGAGTGTAATACGTGCCCAAGAAAAACTGGAATTTCCTACTGGTATCCCTAACCACATGTTTTCTTTTCCTGAGAATTATGGAGCTACAAATGAAGGGATTCATTTGTCCGAAGAGGACATTCGTGAAGTAGCTGAGCTTTCAGGAGTGATGAATGCTCAATGCTCTTACACATGCATTGAAGAGCATGCCAGGCAACAATGTGCAGAATTAATACCTAATACTGAAAAGATTGAAGCAAAAAATGCAATTGAGGCATACAGATTTCTAAAGCAGAACATTCCACGTTAAATGTTTAGAATGGTTTGAACTTCATATCCATTTTAAACAAATATGTTGTTACAAATGTTACAAAAGTTATCTTAAGTTAAACAGTAATTGTTATAATCAATAAAACAAACTATAACAAAAGTTAATAGCAATAAAGTTATCAATTATCAATATACAGGATTTGCTAAATTTGCATATTGAACATTTAGAATGTTTCAAATCATGCAAGCTCTTTAAGTGCCATCATCTTGCAAAACTTGTTACACTTATTTTTCTCAGCAAAGTTTGTAATACTTATAGTTGAAAGGTTCCCTGCACAAAAGTATACTTCACCTTCCCCCATTAAATCTGTAGTGACAATTTCTGGGTCATATAGCTTCAACCCAGAACCTTGAATGTCAAGAACCATTAGTTTCTTCTCTGAAAAACTATAGGTAAAATGAACTAGGCACTCTGCTTTCTGCCCAATCGCAATGGAATCTTCATCATATTCTTCAATGATGTCCCCATCATTATTGATATACTTAGTGAAGCCACCTGGTACATATTCTTCTACGGTGACAGGGCATTTATCCCATTCCGAGTAAAATACTTTGCCATAGGTGAAAATCTCCCCAAATTCTACAAGCATTTTAGCTGCAAAGCGAGCAGTCAAATTGCGAGCAACAGCATGCATTTGTACCTGCTTTCTTGTATGGTCTTCTACTGTAATTTGAAGCTGTTGTTGTTTAGTATTGATAGCTTCATTCCTATACTTCTTTATCACCCACTCTCCTGAAAGGCTAGATGATTTGTCACTAGTGTGAAGCTACCACAGGATTCACCACAGAATTCGCTCTTCCTCCCAGAACAACAAAATCGAACACATGCGAAGCTAGCACGACATTCATCCGCACTAAATTCAATACGTAAACACAATATATTGTGTCCTAATTTTTATTTTGCCGTTAAAAACAGGCAGTATATTTAATGAAACTGGTATTGATAGAAAGCTTACATAACACAGATTCCGAATATGTAATTTTTATCCTGGCCCAAATTTGTCGTCGAATGTTACAGCTCCTAAAACGCCGACGTCTGCCAGCCTGACATTCGAAATCGCATATAATGATGTACGTTAAATGCGCGTTGAAATACGAGCGAAGTAAACAATAAAAAACGGCTTCACATTTTATAATGAAACTGGTATCGATAGAAAGCTTAGATAACACAGATTCCGAATATGTAATTTTTATCCTGGCCCAAATTCGTCGTCGAATGTTACAGCCCCCCTAAAACGCAGACGTCTGCAGCCTGACATTCGAAATCGCATATAATGATGTACGTTAAATGTCTGTGAAATATGAGCGAAGTACGCACCCCAAAACGGCTTCACATTCAATGAAACTGGTATCGAAAGAAAGCTTAGATAACACAGATTCCGAATATGTAATTTTTATTCTGGCCCAAATTCGTCGTCGAATGTTACAGCTCCTAAAACGCCGACGTCTGCCAGCCTGACATTCGAAATCGCATATAATTATGCACGTTAAATGTCCGTGAAATACGAGCGAAGTAAACAATAAAAAACGGCTTCACATTCAATGAAACTGGTATCGATAGAAAGCTTACATAACACAGATTCCGAATATGTAATTTTTATCCTGGCCCAAATTCGTCCTCGAATGTTACAGCTCCTAAAACGCAGACGTCTGTCAGCCTGACATTCGAAATCGCATATGGTGATGTACGTTAAATGCGCGTTGAAATACGAGCGAAGTACGCACCCAAAAACGGCTTCACATTCAATGAAACTGGTATCGATAGAAAGCTTAGATGACACAGATTCCGAATATGTAATTTTTATCCTGGCCCAAATTCGTCGTCGAATGTTACAGCTCCTTAAACGCCGACGTCTGCCAGCCTGACATTCAAAATCGCATATAATGATGCACGTTAAATGTCCGTGAAATACGAGCGAAGTAAACAATAAAAAACGGCTTCACATTCAATGAAACTGGTATGATAGAAAGCTTACATAACACAGATTCCGAATATGTAATTTTTATCCTGGCCCAAATTCGTCGTCGAATGTTACAGCTCTTAAAACGCAGACGTCTGCCAGCCTGACATTCAAAATGTGCGTGAAATACGAGCAAAGTACGCACCCAAAAACGGGTTCACATTCAATGAAACTAGTATCGATAGAGAGCTTAGATAACATGGATTCCGAATATTATGGAAAGCCGATGCTGCCAAAAGTCCTACAAATAGGTCATATACCTTTGAGTTACAAAAAGCTATGCTTGAGCTAACTTTTCATATAATTGAGCTGAAAATGCTATGGTTCAACCACGAAATGACATAGTCGAGTTTTGACATTTCTCGCCTGCGAGTTTTGACATTTCTCGCCTGCGAGTTTTCATATTTCTCGCCTGCGAGTTTTAACATTTCTCGCCTGCGAGTTTTAACATTTCTCGCCTGCGAGTTTTAACATTCTCGCCTGCGAGTTTTAACATTCTCGCGCGAAGCGAGTTTCACGCGTGGCGGCATATATAATTTTCGGTGTCTTCGTAAGTCTTCGTATTAGATCGTACGCGATCGCTGCAACGCATGGCCTACGCGCGATTGCATGGCGGAGTTGACTCTATCTGTTTATTTACTTTAAATAAAACCATGTCGATGAATCCTATTATTCAGCAAATATTGCAAAACATCGATAGACTAGGACAGGAACTACAACGAGCCGACAGGAACAACAACAACCGTGCAAATAATCCAGAAACTCCAAGTGCCCCAACTCAGAATACGGTACGTATATTAACTATTTATTAAAGTCGTTTAACATAACAGATTAATTTATGGATATTTTATTCATGGTCGGTCAAACACACAATCGATTTGTCAAGCATTGTTCAACAGCACCCACGCCATGGCCCATCCTCCCCTGAGCTGTCCCCCACTGCAATTTAGCCTAACACCCCACCCCACCCCTCTTCACACACACATACAGTATTAGCACTTCAACATGGTGGTGGTAAAGTTGATAAATCGTTGTAGTACCAGGCCTTTTTTTTAAATACATTTTTGCGTGGTTGAAGGAAATATTGTAATTGTTTTTTTGAAAGTTTTAGTTAAAAGTCTGCTTGCTGGAGCCAATTTTTATTGTTGTTATTCTTTTGGCAGGCTAGTACCAGCACTGAAGTTTCAAGAATTTTTAGGGGACCAACTTCTGCAAGTACTAATGCCTCCCCTGTTTCTGCTCTGTCCACTCAACGATTACCTGCTGCATCGAACACAGGTCCACGTTTCAGGCTTCGCCAAAATTTTCCCCAGACAAACAGAGGCAGGAAAAAAGATAAGCCAGCTACAGGTGCTTTTACAAAGGATGTGATTTTGTTAAGTGGTCCGAATGATACTACTGTACCACGCCAAGGTAGCCGTGTATGGTTAATGGAACATCACCATATTCTGTCTGGTGTGCAGCTTAGAAAAGAGTGGGATAGCGATAAACTGTTGTCATTTCTTAAACAGTTATTCCCATCAAAGCTGATGGATTCAGATGATGTTGAAATTTTACTGTCAGTTCATTCCAAATTGTTACCACCTACTCTGGCACCAGGGCAGTCACTCTCTGGTTTTGTACTGCAAAAAATATTCAAGGACAAGCCACTTTACATACGACCTTCTCGACTAATCCTGACTATGGAAATTGATGAGCCACTGGCAAAGAAAGAAAAGTTGGAAGATGAGGCTTTTGAGGTATGGATGTTGTAATTACACTATGTTACAGACTACATAGCACTTGGCATCACTGTACCAAATCTAGTTGTGATATTTTGCCATATTTGTTTTGAAAGTTGTTGGGAATCTTAGTATTTGGAATGGGGCAAAGAAACACTTAGCAAAGATTTTATCATCTATCGTTTCTCATGCAATTTGGGAAAATGTAATGTTCACATGTCTTGTGAGTTTTTAGAGGCATTAAATTGCACTAATTGTCCTTCTGGAGTGATGCAATTTTGATAGTGACTCATTTATGTTTTCCCAAATTGCACTTGGAACCATACTGTCTACTGCCTATATTCACAATAGGATATTCTTTATTATTTAGGAATTTGCAATGAATTCAATCTGGGAAGATGACTGTGCAGTATTTGATATGTATAATATATTTTAACTGATCAGTGATCTCTCTCTATAAAGTGCTGCATGTTTTCATCAACCCTTAATTGAGAATGTGGATTATTATAAGAAAGTGGGAGTTTATGTAGATCATAAAGTTATTGCATTTGAACCAGGAAAAAATTTCCAATATTTTATATATATTGTTTTTCATAATACTGTAGTTTTATTTTACTTAGATGCCATTGAACCAGAGCAGTCCCGAAAGAAAGATGTGGAAGTGATAGAAATTGACTCATCAACTACTAGTTCACTGACTAGCCTACCGACTAGCCTACCAATTACCAGTAGCCCAACAACCACTTGCACACAAACCACCAACCTGCAAGCCTCTCACTCAATGACCACCAGTTTCCAAAATCCAGACCCACCAACCACTTACCTGCAATCCCATAACCCACCAACCACCAGCCCACAATTCCCTAACCCAACAGCAAATGACCCACCATCTGGCATTGATCATGTTATTGTACAGCAATGCATTGATTACTGTCATGAGAAAAATATCGAAGACCCAGTGGAAATATTAAGAGTTGCCCAACAATTTATTGTAACAGGTCGGAAGTTAGACGTCGTATCCCTCACTGAATGTGTAGAGGGAGAGACAAACTATATTCTGATTAACCGCCAAGATGTGTTGAACAGGGCAATGGAAGAAATAATGCCCTTGATCAATCCAAGATTAACATTGGAGGCATGTAGTTGGTGATGTACAAATTAGAATTCAATAAATATTAAAATTAAATAAATTAATTTGATGAATATTAAAATTAAATAAATTAATTTGATGTTAAAATTAAATAAATAAAATTAATTTGATAAATATTAAAATTTAATTAAATTAAATATGTTGATGTTAATTTGAGATTCCATGTTGTTAGATGAGAAGTATACATAACATTCATTTGATCACAGTTGATAGAATATACATGGTTTGGAGACCACGTAAAAATACAATACAACTCATTAACTATGTTATTGTCCAGATTTATGCAAAAAATGGTTCCTTTCTCGTCACGTGTCTATTGTATTTTAGCCAAACTGACCAATGGCATTTGTCTTGCTAAGCTCCTCAACCTTGACTTAAAAATATGTTAATTAAAAGATTGCTATTGGTTTATCTGTGCAAAATACAATAGACATGTGATGAGAAAGGGACAACTTTCTGCATAAATGTACCTCAACATAGTTAATGAGTTGTATTGTAGTTTTACGTGGTCTCCAAACCATGTATATTCTATTAACTGTGATTTGATGAAAATGGTCATTTTTGGAGTAAAGTTTGAAAATGACTCCTTGGGTATTAGTGACACATTGTTAAATATTTATTCTCCAACATTGTCATTATGATTTAATCATGATATCTGAATCTGACAGTATGGTTTTCCTGCATTGATATGTTACTTAGGCTGTATTGCCAAGACTCACTCCTTAGTTGTCACTACTGTAGGTTCTCATCTACCACTGATGTCATAATAGACTGGATAGAGCAATTAATTCAATTCAATTAATCCACATTCAGAAATGTATTAATTCTTGGCGTGATTTTTCATTAAGGTGTAGTTGATCCATCCAGTTTATTATGAGACTAGTTATTACTAAAGTGTGAATTGTACACAAATTTGGATGTAATTTGGCTTATTTGATCACTGCAGGTGTCCTTTTATGGGGAGGCAGCCACAGACTATGGTGGGCCGAGGAGAGAATTTTTTCGGCTGTGTATGCAGGAAATCAAAGCTCGATACTTTGATGGTGGACTCAAGGATCATCTATTTGCCGACTACACTGTTATTGGCTTAATTATGGCTTTAAGCATTTTACAAAATGGCAATATTCCAAGGTTCATTCCTCCAGATAACCTGCAAGAGCTTTTTTTTTCTGAAAGCCCATCTCGATGCTTGCAGAGTCTTCGTAGAGGTTTAGAAAAACTGGGAGTGTATCAAATAGGAAAAGCAATCCCTAGCTTCCTATATCTTTTCCATGAGTCGCCCACTGCAACATTGTCTAGGAGAAAGCTGATTCATATCCTTTCTCCTAGCTTTTCTGAGGAAGGGTCAAATGCCCGTTCAGATGAGAATGTGGCCTATCAGTGCTTTCTCAAATACTTACAAGCTGCAGCGAGTGGGACAAGGGGCTCAATAACATTGGAACACATATTGCAATTTGTTACTGGGGCAGACATGGAACCTCCACTTGGCTTTGGATTGTCCCCAACTATAACCTTTCCACCTGCAGATGACCCCAGTCCCTGGTCATTCGTTCCGTCAGCAAACACATGCACCAACACATTACATCTACCAAGAGGTGTATCAGGGAAGCTTACTCGGCCAGAAGAAGCTGTGCTATTTGACATTTCTGATATAGCATTTGCAAATGCATACTTTGGCAGGGCTTAGCGATTGTTCCCATACCCTACAGTAGCCTGTATGTTTTATAGAGAACATAAAAACTGTTGTTCAAACATTTGTCCAGCTGAATTAATTTTTAAAGTTACACATTTGTATTGCTGCAGTTTTGTTAACACAACTATTACAGTATGCAAGTTATGAACGCAAATTAATGTTAATTACTATTAAAGTTATTTAAAATGTATGAACGAACATTAAGAAAATGTTGTATCCCTGAGTCTCTGTCATCACTCAGAGGATCAAATTGTTCCCGGAGCTCTATCTGCTCTTCCTCGGTAAGTTCTACTTGACATTCGAAATCGCATATAATGATGTACGTTAAATGTCCGTGAAATACGAGCGAAGTACGCACCCAAAAACGGCTTCACATTCAATGAAACTGGTATGGATAGAAAGCTTGCATAGCACAGATTCCGAATATGTAATTTTTATCCTGGCCCAAATTCGTCGTCGAATGTTACAGCTCCTAAAACGCAGACGTCTGCCAGGCTGACATTCGAAATCTCATATAATGATGTACGTTAAATCCGCGTTGAAATACGAGCGAAGTACGCACCCAAAAACGGGTTCACATTTCATGAAACTGGTATCGATAGAAAGTTTAGATAACACAGATTCCGAATATGTAACTTTTATTCTGGCCCAAATTCGTCGTCGAATGTTACAGCTCCTAAAACGCCGACGTCTGCCCTCCTGACATTCGAAATCGCATATAATGATGTACGTTAAATGTCCGTGAAATACGAGCAAAGTACGCACCCAAAAACGGCTTCACATTCAATGAAACTGGTATCGATAGAAAGCTTAGATAACACAGATTCCGAATATGTAATTTTTATCCTGGCCCAAATTCGTCGTCGAATGTTACAGCCCCCCTAAAACGCAGACGTCTGTCAGCCTGACATTCGAAATCGCATATGGTGATGTTCTTTAAATGCGCGTTGAAATACAAGCAAAGTAAACAATAAAAAACGGCTTCACATTCAATGAAACTGGTATCGATAGAAGCCTGGAATTATTAAATATAAATAAAAATAATTAAATAAATATAAAACTTCGGTTAAATGTGTATGATAGAATTATGCATTTTTTAATAAACTAGTGTTTCACTATTTGAAATGTAGTTAAGAATTTTACACAACTGTTGTAATGTTCTATATAATGTGTAGTTGCCATCTAGTGACTTAAATGCAAAAGACGCAAAAGTTTGAGTGCATCCTGCATTGTTATAGCCGAACCCTATGAGTTGATGTGATTGGATATGACTAGTCGGTGTACACTATGCAACTTTCCTTGCAAATCGCAATGCAATTCTATTCCAGAGGCATCTGCAAATGCGAAAATTTTCTCTTAGCATTTCAAAAAATCTTTATTAATGAACATCACTCAAAATTATAATTGCGTTGCAAGTTAGAAGGAGAATTGCATAGTACCAGAATAAATTTTTAATTATGTATTTTTTCAATTTACATGATGAAATGACATTTTGAGGATATAAATAACATTTTAAAGGGATAGGACAATAAAAAATAAGTACTGATTGAAAAATGTCTCGAGATCTAGAATGACAATATTTACTATTTTGGATGTGCAGGTCAGCCATGTCTATAATGTGTATGACATCATGAACCATGTAAAATTTCGATTAAAAACGTCAACCCGGCCTTTGACTTCATGTAGTTCAATTCTCTTAAAATCAAATGTGGTCTACCGTTATTTTATTGTCATATCCCTCCTTTAAGTCACCATTTTAAATCTAAATAAATGTTATGAATGTATAATTGCATGAAAATAGGTACACAAACTATAAAGTCTACACTGACGCGACGTTGGAGGAGTAGTTAAAACTTCTTTGATACGTTCTTAGCAACATCACAGCGATGATATATCTGAAAGAGAAATGCGACAAAACGCTTTTGTTAGCATGACATGATAATCTTTCTGAATGACACAACTTCAACTGACTTCAAATGGCAGATGGTAATTTTACCAGAACGGTTTGCTTTTACTTTTGTAGTCATTTAGAATGAAGAAACGAATTCAGGTTGTTTTCACTCCGTTTTAGAATGTGCACGCTCTTCTTAATTTTGGATAGGAGATTTTTTCATAATTGATTGAATATAAACTTACTTCGTTTGATAAACGCGATATTTACACCAAGATATGATTTTGCATACCATAATCCATATGGAATAGTTTTGTCGTCCCTAAACGGTGGATAAGCCAAAGTTTAAAAATACTCTCATACATCAAATAAACTATACACATTGAAATACAAAGATGCTTACGTTTACACCACACAAACGTCACGTATTCGTTGAACCATAATTATTCATTCTTTAGATTCTTCTGCCTCTGATCTGCTTCTGATTGTGGGCATGCACACTTCGGTCTTTGAATATGAACTTGAACCATACAGTCTAAAGAGCAATAAAGAAACAGACTTTCGCCGCTATAATATCTCTACACTTAAGTTAACAAATAATTCCGGAATAAGGCTTAACAAAAAGAGGTTTAGATACAAAAATCACATGTATGTGAAAATAAAATGGTCATCATTACGAATGTTATGGTCAAGTGTTATGGTCAATATTGTAACCTCATATATAACTTACCTACATGGATGCGAATATAGAGGACGGAGGTTATAAAGCAGGTATGGCAGGTTATTTTTTCCGCGCGATGGAATTCAACACTCGCCCGTTACATCAATGGTTCTTCATGTCACTACCGCAACGGCACTGGATTTTTTTTCTCCAGTTAGAGACGCCAGTTGCGCAGCGCAGTGTTGATCCTGACTCATCCTATCGCGCACATTAACACTTGCCCGTTTTTCAAAGGTTTTTCGTATTCTATAAACGCAACGGCCTCGGAATTTTCTCAGTTGTAGAACTGCCAGTTGCGCAGCGCAGTGTTAATTATCTCTTCTGTGATTATCATAATTCAATAACATATCTCTCCAGAATTTTCTTCATTTAGATCTAACTTCACAGTGACATGAGTTGATAACCACGCCGTTCGCGTATGTTACGCGACAAAAATATGTACCCACATTGTCTTCTCGCAAAAGCATTCTGCACGTTTGTTTGCAAGAAACGTTCTTACTTTTAAAAAACCATTCAAAGTTCAATGGTTTTTCTCCCGTAAATAAACATCTGATAGCAACCATTTTATCGATCCTTTGTTCATAAACCGTAGGTATTATACACCCTCTGTTGGAACTGGTTGGTACTGATGAAGTCAACAAATTTCGGTTTACGAGTTCATATGCTATTGTCGGTCGTGATGCATTGATAAAATCGCTGTTTGGGATACCATTGAACAACTCCAATCTGTATCTTGCATATGCCAATATGTAAACACCGCATGATATGAATTCTTGAATAGGAAATCTATCTTCCCAATATACTTCAAATTCTGAAACGAACTTTTTATGATTTATTTCTACCTTGTATAATCTGGATAGATATACTTCTTTAAAATAATCCTTGACCATTTTCAGTAGAGTTATATGTTGTACACCACGTTGTAAAGGATCGTAGAAGAATATAAATTGTTTTCGAGGATCGATAACATTTATTGACCAGTGTCGTCCAAGCTGCCACAACGTCTTTCCATGAAGATGAGATGTTCCTTACAGTTGTATCGTCAATTTCATAAGCTTCATTGCCTTTAAAAATAACAGCAGTGTAATGCCCACATTCTATGAGTTCGCCATGATGAAGTGCACAAGAAGATAAACTGTAACATTTACTCGATCTTTCCACTGAAATATGTAAATTTGAAGGCAAGGACACGCTGGTGTCACTTTTTTGGCCAAAATTTCCATTGTTGATAAACCTTTTAAAAATTAAGGTAATCGTTTTAGGCAAAGAAATAAAGAATCCAATGCGAACGTGAGGCGTTTCAGTTGCACAGTTGTCGCAATTCATCTCTACACCATCGACAAGATTATCTTCAATGCTCTCAGCAAGGTTCGTAACTTCGTCGTCTAATGAAACGAATAGTGTGTTGAAAGTTTCAGGGCCAAGTTCCTCTTTTTTGTAGCATTTTGTGCAGGTCTTTGTGTACTGGTATATCCCTGCAAAATTCTCTGTCATCTCTCCGTCTGTACTGTCGGAACACAAATCGGTGTAACTCTCGTGTATGTCTTGTTGTCGTCCTCTCGTATATCCAAATTGGTTTCTAAAGACGTTGTGAAGTTCTTGTGGATAAAAGGGATATTTATTGTTGCTATTTAATTTCATCAAGGTAGACTCTAAAGCGGCGGTTATCTGGGTTCGAGATGAGCTTGGATTTTTAGTAAGTACATTCTTAATCGGTAATCTGTTTATGCATTGAACAAGACTATTCAGCCAGCAATCATTAGCTTTATTCTTCAGACCTCTCGTTACATCGTTAACGTTAGTTCCGGTATGTTGTTGGCTATTGCTTTTCCTACAAAAATCTGGTATCTTCTTTTGCTTTCCTCTGCCACCTGCCTCTTTATAACTAGTTTTCTTTCTCTGTTTCCTTAACGGCTTCTTTCTAAATCTCGTTTTGTCTTCTGTTGGTAAATCGTGCCAAAGCTCTCCGGCTTTTCGCTAAATCAGACTGCTTTCGTCGCCCCTTTGCTCTATTTTTCTTACCACCATTATGGAAAAAGTTAAAAAAAGAAGAAGAAGTCCCGCCGCGCTTCTTTTTCTTAACGTCAGGTGTATTGCTGAGGGGAACAGAAGGTGACTGTTGAAACTGTCCAACATTAGGATTTCGCCTTGGTGTAAGCAGATCTTTCTTCCCCCATGTTTCGTCACGTTTAAGTAATCATTAGTAACGACCGTTGGTGACTTGTTATCGCGGCATAATGGCTTCTCGTCAGCAGCATTCACTTTCAAAGACTCGTCAACTTCAGTTTTTACTGTAATAGGTGTCTCTGCGTTATTTGGGTCGCTGCTAGAGATGGCCTTTGTAACGGATTTCTCGTCAATATTGCCGTTTTGTTTGTCGTG